ACATATGTAGATAGGCTTGTCAGCATGTACCCATTTGACCACACTTACCAGACACCCTATTAAGTGTTGATTTTACACTTAACCACACATATTCAGACATAATAAAGGTTTCTAGTACAGCATAGAAGATCTATGCTTCCCCTACCATCCAGCCTTCCAATTTTGATGAAGAGAGTCATTCACCGTTTTGATCTTAGATCCGACTTCTCAAAGTATTTTATTTTTAGTTTTTTTTATACATATTTTATGAACATGAAATTTAGTATGTACCATATTCTTATTAGGGCGTACCTATAAAAAATATTAAAATTATTTTTTCAATAAAATATAATGACCAAAATACCCCTTGAATTTTTCAGAGGTAGTTTGGTCATTTTATTTTATTGAAAATATTTTTTTAATATTTTTTACTAGTGAGAGTTTAATAGAGGATTAGGCATCAAATTTTTGGTATTAAAATAATCTATAAAAAAAAATTAAAAACAAAATAGTGTAGAGACATGACATTGTAATTGACGCAATCTTAGCCCTCCATTCAGAATGGACGGTTAGATAAGGGGAAGGATATAAGTTTTATGCTGTTGGGGAAGCATAGAAAGCTTGCCCAACATATCCAAAAACCTTCAAATTTTCGAAAAACCCCTACACTGACACTTAAATCATGTGGGAACCCAGTTTCGTATGCGAAGCATTGGGAATGTGTCCAATGATTAAGCAAAGCACCTTTGGGGATACTGACCACGAAACAAACTCACAATAGTAATGGTAGGCCTCTGCCTACAACTATAGTGGGACCTTACGTGGGTACCTATCAAGCCTAGCCAATTTTCAACTTTTTACTTGGATACCCACCAGACCCGGCCTACTTATAGCCCTAGGTCAAATTGTTTTCAAACTATTTTTGTGTGCCTTGATTTGAGCTAAATTTAAGTCTAGGACTAAGATAGGTTCTTCGAGCCTAGGTTAGTCAGACCCAAGTTTAGGTCTAGCCTAGTTTAGATCTTGATCCATCCAAGTTCAAGTTTCGGTCTATGTTAGGTTTGAGTTTAGAGCTAGTGAGACCCAAGTTTAGACCTAACCCGATCTAATTATCGATCCATCAACGTTTGAGTCTATGTCAACCTAGATGCGAGTATAGGTTGTAAACCAAGTGCAAATCTATATCCAAGTTCGAGTCTAGGCCTACTTAAGGTCATGTCTAGACCTAGCCAAGTTTGCATCCAGGTGAAGCCAAGTTCGAGTCAAGGCCCAGCCAAGCCCTAGTCTAGGCTAGTAAGGTCCGAATTTAGATTCACCTGGGTCCGAATGTCGGTCGAGTAATGTTCGAATCTAAGTCTAGTTAGGTCCTAGTGTTGGTTTAGTCTAGGCCTCTAGCCCTAGGCCTGAACCTAAGTCAAAGCCCAAGTCTAAAAGTCTGAGCCCAAACCCACACTTAGGTCGTCATTTAAGGCTCAAGCCCAATCCAGAGTCTAGGCCTAGGTCTGCTCTTGGTCAAGGCCCAAGTTCTAAATCCAGGTCGATCTCCAGCCATAGGTCGACGTTCAAGTTTGGGTCCAGTTTAAGTGAGTTCCAATATTTCCTAGTCTAGCCAAGTCTAAGAATCATGGCTCACGACTAGATCAAGATGCGATCTAACCCTTTATACCAGTCTAGGTCTAGGGAGCCAGGTCAGTCCTTGGGGCATCACCAAGGAGCACCTTTAAACCGTAGGACCTATTAGGGTAAGTCTAATTACAACTCACATGAAACCACAACTAGTCATGTAGGTCCCCAAGCTACGAGTCATCCTGCCTGTGGTTCAAGAACCAGGGCCCACTAAGTAGCAACCTGAATGATGAACTCATCAGACAGGCTAACCTATGAGATCTAGAGTATGGTAAAAAATTCCGTCAACACGACCAAGGCAAGTCAAAGATGTAGAACTCTGAAACCCTTAGATCAATCGACTCAAACTGGGTTAACCTTCCTCCTAACCCTAATAACCAATTGGTCAGATATTAGTAGAGTCATGACTAAAACTAGGCTAGCCACCAAAAAAAACTAGAAAGTTAGGCATCTTCACCTAAACCTAGGAGTTTATCAAGCCAAGCCCCTACTCACCATGGTGCCCCTCGACCAATTCTGAGGACTACGGGCCCCTCTCAATCGATAGTCTTAGAGATGATCATGCAGTTAGGCATAGTGGCCATGCTAAACCCTATAGGAGCTCGGACTGATGTCCAAGTCAAAGATCAAAGGACCTCTTCTGCTGCTGACCAATATAATCATGCCATTTCCACCCACTCGGCAAGTCCTCATCGCCGAAGCACTCATCCTGACCCACCTCAAATCCCAACAGAGGGATATGGTCAGGGTCCTCTTGGATCCTATGGTCAACCCAGTTTAGTGAGTCAGTTTGGGAGAGTCTATGACTCACAACTCAGTCGGCCCTTACCAGCTGGGGGACGTGCTCAACTTCGAGCCAACCGGTTTGAGCTTAAACCTACCCATATCGAGCCCAACCGGATCCGGCCTAAACCTTCTCCTCTACCTCATGCAACACAAAGCTTGTCGAGAGAGACAGAGGGAGGGAGAGATTCCGCAGGGAGAGGGAAAGAGTTGGGATGCAGCAGGGTTAAGCAGCCATGAAGAGGGAGAATTGCAGACGGCCAAGAGAGAGATATTCAACAGGAGCAAGGGAAAGAGGGCTCCTCTTTTCCTTGAGACAAATGCAACAAGCTTCTTTGGCTCGTGCGAGCTTAGGAAAGAACTCTAGGGGACTGACCTGATGCAGCAAGCTTCTTCTTTGGCTGTGAGAAATAGAGGCGAGGGAGATAGAGCCACCCAAAAAATAGAATTGAAAAAAATTTGCTGAACAAATCGGAGTTGATTTAGTTTTAGACGGCGTTTTGGGGCTATTTTAGAGGCAAGAAGGATGCCGTTATGACCCAATCAAACCCTGGCAAATTCTCTTTTTAAGAGTAGCAAAATTTTCAAAGGGTGCGGTTTGCATAGTGCGTAGGCTCTAAACAATCAAATTAAACCTGTGTCGAAAAATGTGATTTCAATATTGAAATTTTTTGTGATGGGTGCAGGTGGCATACGGATGCAT